AACCATTGGCCAAATTGAAAGGGAAGGAAGAAGAGCTTTCCTGGTGGCGTTCAAGACACACAGAAAGAGATTAAATCAATGAGTTGGCTCTGTCATCTAGCAAGTCTCTGTCAATAAAGACCTCCAACAGTAGAAAGGGACAGGGAAGCACATCTACCTAGCCCAAAGGCCCGTTGAAAGACCCTAAATCAAAACTAGGGGGGCCAGGGAAGCAAGCTTCCTTATTTTTTCTGAAGCAGGGAGATGAAGGTTTTGGGTTAGTCTGGAGAAATAGGGTCTATGTTAATGTTTAATGTCGGTTATTAAAAAAAAAAAAAAATTCTTAACTCAAAGTTTGATGATGTATCATGTATTTGAGAGTTAGATTATTAGATTCAACAAAATACAAGATAAATACTCGGTCTCAAAATACAAAGGCTCAGAATTCAACTCGAATGGGGCAGATATAATCATGAATTGGTAGTGGATGAACAAAGGTTAAAGCATGATATATAATTAAAGGAAGAAAGATGGGGTTGTGCCACCATTTCCCATCTTTCTTTGAGCAATATTTATTTATTCTCCTAATTGATTCGGCTACGTAAGCACACAAGTCACAAGGCTGTAAAATTAGTTTATTTTTTAGTGTGCTAGGCTGCTAGATAAAATAGTAATTGAAAATGGTGCATGAAATGAACTAACTAGTATTATTAACCCACCGTGACCATGAGTATATTCTCTGAATCTCCGATTTGGTCAACACCAATACAGAACGGTTATTTATCTGAAAATTATAAAGAATAGAATTGAGAGTTTATAATAGTTTATCTCGAAATTCGAGAATCATAATAATTACAATATTCATTTTAAATAAGTAAATATGTCATGAATAATACATAATAATTTTTGCTATTTCCGCTTCTGTTTCTTTGTTGAAAAATAAACATTAGGGTGAGAGTGACATTATAGATGATATTTTTTGGGTGACGACTTTTGTTTAACGTTCTCTCTTTTTCTTCTTTATTGTCTAAAACTGAAAGTCCAATCTTTGACTCATGCTTGACATTTTTGGCTTGTTGGTTATTTCAATTGCAAGTTTTCAACCACACAATCGAGATCAATGATTGAGAAAGATAATGTTGAATTTGAGAGAAATTATTATATGATATTGGAATATAATTATGTTATATAATTAATTCATATGTGTTAATATAAGCAGACGATATGGTTAATATTTCACACTTTCAAGATATAATAATCATGTCGAGAGTGAATCGAAGAGTTTGAAATGCCGCCAAACGGAAGGAACAAACGTTTCACTTGTATTTTTATTTTTATTTTTTATAATAAAAAGTCGACTTTTGTTTTTAGGTAAAAATAAATGAGACGGAGGAGGCCCAAATAATCAACAAAGTAAATCCAATTAAAAATAATAATAATTGTAAGATACGGGAGACTTCAACCTTATAAATATTTGGCGCCTCCTCTCGACTCTCGACTCTCGACTCTCGTCTCTCTCTTCAGGCAGAAGCTTCTTCTATTTTTATTTTTCTTCTGTTTGAAACTTCTGCGGCAGACAAGGAGGGAAGACGGTGCGCAATTTAAGGATCTCCAATTTACTTGCTCGATATACCTCACCTAAACTACCTCCACGCTCCTCTCTCTCCCTCTCTCTGTCTCTGACATTTCCCGGCCTTTCTTTTCCACTTTCCTTCACTTTCTCTCCATCCAAACCATGAACTCCACCACAATACCAACAACACTTGTTTATTTCTCTCCCCCTCCTGCCGCCCCCACTGAATCGTCATCAAAACGCCAAGCTCACAACCCTAGACACGTCCAATTGAAACTCGACAAACGACAAAACGGCAGGAATTTCTTATCAAAATCCATAAAATGCATCCAGAATCGCGGTATTCGAAACCCGACCGCGCTGGCTTCTTGCTTGGCCGCGACGGAGGCTCCGCCTTCGAAGGTCGCGGAGCTGGTGGCGGACAAGCTAAAACGACTCGTTTTGGAATTTAAGTCTCTGGCCGAGCCGATAGACCGCGTGAAGCGGCTATTACACTACGCGGCGGGACTGCCTCCGTACAACGAGTCGACTCGGAAGCCGGAGAGCCGAGTCCCGGGCTGCTCGACTCAGGTCTGGGTCGAGGCCGAGATGGACGAGTTGGGGAGGATGAGGTTCCGAGCCGACAGCGACTCGGAGATCTCTAAGGGGTTCTGCTCGTGCCTGATTTGGATGCTGGACGGCGCGGAGGCGGCGGAGGTTTTGGAGGTCAAGACGCGAGATTTGGAGGACGTGAATGTGGGGGTGTACGGAAAGGTGAATTCGAGAGTGAACACGTGGCACAACGTGTTGTTGGCGATGCAGAGAAAGACTGAAGCTTTGGTTGCGGAGCGAGAGGGGAAGCGTTCGTTGGAGGCTTTGCCTTCTCTGCTTGCGTCCACCAATGAGGTTAGCGGTTAAAGCCATTTTCATTATTTTCTTCTTTTCTTTATACTAGTCTACCAGAACTTGAAGAGAATGGAAGTGGACAAATCTGGCCCTATTTCCCAATAGAAATCAATTGTTTTGCCACTTGGTTATTTTTCTGGGCTCATCAAGATTTTGAGCTAAAATTATGAAGGGTGCTTCAGTATCTCCAGAGTTGTGGACTAATGATTGTTATTCCAAAAGAAGGGAAGAAAAAAAAAATATTGATTTTATAGTGGGACCCGCGGGGAAGTGGGTTTGAAAAATAGGGGAATATGTATGGTACTTGTAGGAATCAGTTTAGTGGAATAATGCTTGTTGTTCCAAAGAAGAAAATGACTGTGAACACAAAAGGATTCTGTACAGAAAAAGCTATATTATGTGATTGTTTGATGTAACAAGAACAGTACAGATGTATTATTTTTGTATATTATGTGTGCAAAATTGTTTGTGTAATACTCAGGTCAGGATCCAACCAGTTGTGTGGAAATATGGGTACTTGAAATTGTGAAATGGATGTTTTCTTCTGGCCTTGAGTCTCTCTGGGTAGATTGTTCTTTTAAGTAATCTGTCAGGAAAGCTTAAAGGATATGGTAAGATTGTGTGCGATAAGAAACGTGAAATTAGTTGGTCAGCCAGCAAAAGCAGAGTCAAGCTTCTAACTTGTCAAGCGGCAGATAGTTGAGCAGAAAGATTGGTGCATTGCTAACATAACACGTAATGTTTCTGAAATTTCTCCATCTATCATTGTGCCTTGTTTCTTTTGATATCTGTTATGAGTAGAAGATGAAAGTGAGCTCTGCGATTTTATAATGATGTGCCTGTAGCAGCCTTTCTCCACATTTACTTGAAATCAAATTCCCTTCAAGTGCCATAACTATTCAGCACCAATTTTTCCACCCTTCATCACATCAATAAATCCAATGGTCCTATGAAAGCCCCCTATTCATTGTCTTCTCCACCAAGAACAATCCTAAGAAAGACAGGACAGACAAAGCAGAGAAACAATTCCAGGGACGCATGACGTCCACTGATAGCTTGGATTTCAAACAGGTTGCCGAGTTTCTCCACATCTGTGGTCTGGCCAAAGCCACCTCTTCCCTGACGGAGTTATAAGCATAGACTCTAACAAAGTAAGTTGCTGTGCAGGTACATCATTTTCGATCCTCCAATCGAAGCTCTGACTGCTTGTAGAAGCATCATAGTTTCTATTAACAATGGTGAATTCTCAGGTCTTGTCCTTGTTGAGAGGAAGCAGTGACCACCAGATTCCTGAGGGAGGAGAACAGCACAGCTCCACAGCAAGTTCTAGGGAAGCACAAGGCTAGGAGAGTCCCATTGGTGCTGGAGTTTTCTAAAGATTGCATCCACGACCACGAAGCCCAACCTTTCTTTTCTTCTTTCTGTTTGGCTATGGATTTCTAAACCAAACAGTTAAAATGGTTGGTTGGTCAGGTCAGGATCCACAGAAGTTGCCTTAGGAAGGCTGCATGGAAAATCCAAGCTTGATTTGCAACTAGTATGCTTTGTGTGCTTGAAAGAGAGAGAAGGATTGAAGATGTCTTTTGCAGCATCCAATCAAAAAAGGTAGAGTTTCCACAAAACCGCAGCAAAATTTAGGGGTGTTTTGATGAAGTTGAATTTACATTCCATTCGTTGCAAAATTTAGGGGTGTTTTGATATTTGTCCTTTTTATAATAAAAAATTATTTTTTCATTCCCTTTCTTTTCTTCATTACATGAGCACAAGAAGAAAACATGAATCTCCCACTTGAAAAGCAATCAATTCACAAACAAAAGTACCTTTACACTTTGCTTTCCATGGCACAGATGGGATTCGGCCAAACCAATCAAACATGAAAAGATCGCATTGAAACACAACTATTTTCTTTTTTAAAGTACCGACTTACGAAACTTAGCTCAGTTGATCAGCAAAAGAAAGTGTGCCGCTTGCGAAATTTAAGCTTCCTGCAAAAAAGAAAAAAGAAAATATGAATTTAAAGAGTATCACAACCGTCAACTACCAAGAAGTCAAAAAGCAGCGGGTTGCTCAAGGTGGGCCACACCACAAACTCAGCAACTCTCGCACACACCCCAACACTCCAACTTGCCAGAGGGCCCACATCCCATAAAATCAACGGCTCAAGTTAGCTTGCTTCGCCAACGCTCCCATCTCAAAACACCCCACGTGGCTGATTACACTTCGTTTTTCTTCTGGCTCAACTCGCCACACCCACAGAACAAAATCACAAGAAAAAAAACACAACAATAAAACATTTAAAACACTCTTACATCCCACACGCACCCGCACACTCCTCTCTCAAGCCAACTGTTGCCCTTCCCTCTTCTTCGCATGTTCTCGGAGCTCCGGCTCCATTAACGGAGCCCCAGCTCACAGCTCACATCTTCTTTTTTTTTTTCAAAAAAACTAAAAAAATTATAACTACTCTTTTTTCGCCTTCGTTTCTTTTTTTTATTTCAAACATTTCTGGTCATATTTTCTCTTCATTTCCAACTGCGTTCTCAGATCTCGCAAACCGTCGAAGATGGACAAACCCTGGGGTGGTATCGGCGCCTGGGCAGCCGACTCTGAGCGAGCCGAAGCGGAGGAGCTCGCGGAGGCTGCCCAAGCTGAGTCCCAGAGCTTCCCGAGCCTCAAGGAAGCCGCGAACGCAAAGCCCAAGAAGAAGAAGATGAGCCTCTCCGAGTTCAACATGGGGGGCTCTTTCTCCGCCTCCGGGCCCGCCGCCTCAAGTCGGGTCGGGCTCACTCCTGAAGAGATGATGCGCCTCCCTACCGGCCCCAAAGAGCGCTCTGCGGACGAAATGCAGTATGGTCGCCTCGGCGGTGGGTTTTCCTCGTACGGCCGCTCCGGTTCGAATCCGGGTCGGGGAAGGGACCGTGACGACGCGGAAGGGTCGTGGGGCGGTGGTGGCAGAAGATCCTACGGTGGATTCGACGACGACCGAAGAGCTCCCTCTTCTAGGGTTTCGGATTTCGATCAACCGTCGAGGGCAGACGAGGTTGACAATTGGGCATTGACCAAGAAGTCTCTTCCTTCTGCAGATTCAGGTCGGCAGAACCGGTATAGCTCGCTCGGTGGCGGTGGCGGTGGTGGTGGTGGGGGCGGTGGCAGTGGAGGTGCCGGTGCCGGTGGGGGTGTTGGCGGACCTTGGTCTAGGGCAGACGGGGTTGGTAACTGGGCTGTTGGG